AGGGGCTGCCCAGGGAAGGGGTCGAGTCCCCAGCCCTGGGGGGATTTAACAGCCGGGCAGCCGTGGCGCTTGGGGCCAGGGTTTGGGGGTGGGATGGCAGGGGTAGGGGAACGGTTGGGCTGGGGGATCCTAAAGGCCTCTTCCAACCCAAACGATTCTGTGAACTCCCCTGGCCTGGTCAGGGGATGCTCAGAGCATCTCGCTCCTGGTGGGAAGCTGCTGGTCCCTGCTTTGGGCATGAGGGCCCCAGCTAGGACATCTGTGCAGACACCTTGGGGGCGCAGAGGACACCAGCAGGGGCTCCTGCCTGGCTGTGCTGGGGCTCAGCGCATCCTTTCAGAGGTCCGACAGGCAACCTGGACCCTCCAGCCAGCAGCGCTCCCAGCACTGGCATCGAAAACTGTAGATAATGCAGACAGTTTCTGTTGGTGTCCTCCAAAAGCTAAGGTGGAGGTGGTCTAGCTTGGCCCTGCGGGACCTTCATGGGGCCCCAGCACACTGCAGGGTGGGGATGTTGGTATGTCGTGCTCCTCCATGGAAGCTGCAGCTGGAGGAAGCCCTTGAGGTCCTGCTGCTGGCTGTGCTCTCCTGCCGAGCATGGGGTGGTTGGCTGAGGAGCTGCAGCCACTGGGCTCCCCGCTGCCTCCCAGTATGGCAGCGGTGTTGGTAAAGCTGTTCAGTACAGCTTCACACCCAAAGGGGTCCAGATGTGGCGCTCAAACCACCGTGACCTGAATGACCTGGACAGCATCTGGGATCTGGTGGGGAGGGATGGGATAAGGGGTGACCACTCTGCTCTTGAGAGCTGCACGGGTGAACTCTTCCTCGACGGCTGTTCTCTATGCTAAGCGTCGCTCTGGAAGGACTTGGATGCGCAGGGAAGCTGGGAGTACCTTTTTGTCCAGGAAAAGCTGCCGTTCCTCAAATGTTCTCACTCCAGTGGACGTTCCCCCTGCTAATTAACTTGCTGGGCAGCTTCTTCCCCCGTCAAGCTGGGGAGCGCGATGAGACCTGGGGGAGCGTCCTCCCAAGGGCTGGGTGGTGGCCAGAGCAGAGTTAATGGCTTGGTTGTGCTCTCCCAACCCACCCTGAGAGAGCCCCAGGTTACCTGGCCATGCTGGCCAACGGGTGAGTGGCCTCTTGCCTCCTTCGGGGCTGTGGCCTGGCCCTTGCTCCCCTCCATTGCCACCAGTTTGGGCTCCTGGCTGATGCTCCTGCAGGGCGCCGAGCCGAGGAACGGCCGTCATGCTGCCAGCAGCTGGGGGAGCCGCGCAGGGGACCCTTCGCCTGGGCTCTGCCAGTGTCATCGAAGGCACCGCTCTCTTCAGAGAGTGACAAAAACCTGTTGCTTAACTCCCCTCGCCTTCTCCCTAGGTGATCGGGAAGCGCGTCCCTCCGGACCAGCTGATGAGCCTGCTGCTCGCCATGTTCGAGGGGCTGGCGGACCCCGATAAGAACTGTTCCCGAGCGGCCACTGTCATGATCAACTCCCTCCTCAAGGAGCGCGGAGGCGTCTTGCAGGAGAAGGTGAGCTGCTGCTGCTTGGCCTTGGCACTGCCTCCGTGGTCCAAATGTGGCCCCGGAGGGGCGGCTCCAGTCGGGTCTTGGCCTCCCTTTCCTCCCCCATGCCTGGCCAGTTTCCTCCTGCAGCACCAGCAGCTGGTTTGCTGGGGGTGATGGGCTTCTCTGGTACAGGGATGCTCCAGGAAGGGGCAAGCCCTTGGCAGGAGGGCGATGTCCAGCGCAGGGAGGGCTCCAGCGCTGGTGGGGGCGGGGGGGCATTTCACACAGAATTATAGAATGGCAAGGGTTGGAAGGGACCTCGGGAGCTCACCCAGTCCCACCCCCCTGCTCAAGCAGGCTCACCCAGAGCAGGGGGCACAGGACAGCATCCAGGCGGGGGGTGAAGATCTCCAGAGAAGGAGACTCCACAGCCCCCCTGGGCAGCCTGGGCCAGGGCTCGGCCACCCTCACAGTCAACAAGTTTTTCCTCCCGTTCAACTGGAACCTCTTCTGCTTCAGGTTGTGCCCATGGCCCCTTGTCCTGGCGCTGGGCACCACTGGGAAGAGTCTGGCTCCGTCCTTGTGACCCCCACCCTTGAGATATTTGCAGGTGTTGATGAGATCCCCTCTCAGCCTTCTCTTCTCCAGGCTGAACAAGCCCAGCTCCCTCAGCCTTTCCTCCTAGGGGAGATGCTCCAGTCATGGTACACCTATGTGGTACCTACACCTCCTTCCGCGAGGGGCTACTGAGCTTGTGTCTGGCTGGTACTACATCCCCAAAATATTGTGTTCTTGGCTTTAAAATATTGTGAGTTCTTGGCTTTCTGTTCTTATTTACCGCTCTCCCCAGCAGAGTCATGGTCATTTTGGCTTGACCGTCCCACACGGGAGGTTTTCCAAGTAGAAAACTGTCTTATGGTTGGATTTTACGCACGGAAAGCAAGCTTAGGCTAAAGCTTTCGAAAGGATTTTCATTTGTGTCTGTGGCAAAATGCCAAATGTCCCGGTTTCGTCGAGTCGTTCTCACGGCGGGCAGAACTGGAAGCGGTCTGCATCCCCATGGATCAGCCACTCCTCCCAGTTTGGTGCCAGCAGCGAACGGGCTGGGGGTACGCTCTGTCCCCTCGCCCAGGTCATGGATGAATCAGTTGAACAAGACTGGGCCGAGTACTGAGCCCTGGGGGAACTCCACTAGCCACCAGCCTCCAACTAGACACTCACCTCTGTCCAGAGGGGCTCTGTGCCAGCCGTTGCGTTTCTGGCCAGGGGAATGCTTGCCCCAGCGCTCTCGGGGCTGTCACCCCTGACCTTGCTCGTTTCCCGTGGACGCGTGCGCTCGCGCTCTCCTCCTCCGTCCTCACGGCTGGGGCAGGCTGCTGTGCGGTGGGAGGCGGCGGCTGCTGGAGAGGCCGGCTCCGGTCTGGCTCTCGCTTCGGGTTGAGGAGTTCAGAGAAGCTCACTTTACCAGAAGGGCTCAGGCTCCCTGCGAAACCTTTGCACGCTCTGGGGGAGCCCGGGGTTCCTGGCTGGGAAGCCAGTCGGAATGCTTGCAGGGCTTAGAGGTGCTGGACACAGAAGGCTTTTTTGTCTAATCCACTGCCTTTAGGGCTAAGCTCCCCCTTTCTCCTGCGGTAATTGGAAACACCGGGTCTCCTGCTACTCCTTGGGCTTTACTTTTGCACTAGAGCTTCTGCTAAAGTCCTGCTTGCTACCTATTAGCCTCCATCCTGCGTGGGATTGCTCCGGCTTACATGACTCACCTTTTGGTCAGACCCAGTCCAGCCCAGATCCTGAAACCTGAACTGATGCTAAGCCTCGGAGTCCGTGGGGCAGCCCCGAGCGCAGCTGGGGCCGGAGCGCTCGGCTGCTCTGCGCTTAATCTCCAGAATTTGCTGCCAGGCCTGGTCTGCGCGTGAACTTCCTATTTGTCTTAACGTGCGTTTTACGGCTTGCGGCGAGGGCCGAGGTGTCTCCCTGCGTTCGGCTCGAGTTCCTCTCAGGAACTTGCTTGCTGAGCTCCTCTCGCTGCACCCGTGTCGAGGCTGGGGCTTAGCGCGAGCTCCTTGCCAGAAGGCTGTGGCTGGAGGGGGGTTAAACCTGTCCTTGCTGGGTTCTCTTTCCCCCGGGGATACCCTGCAGCCTCCTCTGCCTCCTGGGTGGGGAAGGATCCTTGATTTCCAGAGAGGTCTGTGGTTCAGCATGCGCCTGGTGAGCAGGGAGACTTCCCTCAACCTGGAGCACTGGGTCCAGTTCTGGGCTCCCCAGTTCAAGAAGGATGAGGAACTCCTGGAGAGAGTCCAGAGGAGGGCAACAAGGATGGTGGGGGGACCGGAGCATCTCCCCTAGGAGGAAAGGCTGAGGGAGCTGGGCTTGTTCAGCCTGGAGAAGAGAAGGCTGAGAGGGGATCTCATCAACACCTACAAATATCTCAAGGGTGAGGGTCACAAGGATGGAGCCAGACTCTTTGCAGTGGTGCCCAGCGCCAGGACAAGGGGCCATGGGCACAAACTGAAACATAAGAGGTTTCAGTTGAATATGAGGAAGAACTTCTTGACTTTGAGGGTGATGGAGCACTGGAACAGGCTGCCCAGGGAGGCTGTGGAGTCTCCTTCTCTGGAGATATTCAAAGCCCGCCTGGATGAAGTCCT